TGTGTCATTTATCTCTTGTATAATCTATATTCATTTTCATTTTTATTTCTTTATTCTTCTTGCATATTGTTTCATTGTACATACTTTCATAAATAACTTAAAAAAAAAAAAAAAAAAAAAAAAAAAAATGACAACAACTTTTCACCATTGTGCCTTTATGTGTAGTCATGCTACTTTCATACTTAAGCTAAAGCTTGATCTCATATTTCTCTTTCATTTTGTGTTATATTGCCTCAGAATGCATGATTTGATTATCTTATCCCATTTAATATTTGATGTGAGTTTGCTAGTGTGGTTATTCAAGTAGGTTGTTGATTCTAAGTTTGGGGGTGCACTCTTTCCCAATGGATCACTACCGGGCTTCATGTGTTTTCTACCACGGTATATTCTTTCTATATTTTCCATTGTTCTCATTGAGGACAATGTGCAGTTTAAGTTTAAGGATAAGGTGTCTTTGTTGCATTCTACTTAAAGTTGAGTTTTAAATGCATGATTGAGATTGGAGATCCATGTTGCTATGATTTTGATCTTTTGAGGACCATAATACTTAAAATTTAAAAATTGCTTGACTTGAGAGTCTAATACTCCTTGTATGCCTTATAGATGCCATTTAGGAGTAAATTTTTTGAAAGATTGGTATCTTGCTTGCACTTGTGGTCCACATCATCTTGATTTTGTGATTGTTTTGAGATTCACTCTAGGATTCTACACTAGCATGACGCATAGTATTTATTTGTGGGGTATATGCTTTGTTGACTACTGATTTAGTTATATCCCAATTGAGCTAGTAGTGCATTGAAAGCTTTCATTCTTGATATAGGTGGATAACAAACCCTTTTCACTAAGTAACTGGGATTCTAGCCTCATCAAGCACTGAATTTCACACGCCAAAAGGTGGAGGGCCCAAACTCTAGGTTAATAATTAAAAAAAAAAAAAAAAAAGGTTGCAAAAGCAAATAAAAAAGTGAGGACTTCTCCCAAAAGGTGAGAAATGGGCAATGATTAGATAAAGGTTGTTTTGATTTGAGCTTGTAAGTCCTTAGGGGTGTTTAAACACCTAATGCCCTAAAGTCATCCGGTTTGGGAGTCATTGACCTAACGCTCGACCTCATAGATCATTAAAAAGCATAATAAATCAACACATTACACCATACTTCTATATTTGATCCTTAGGGTTAGTAAAAAAAAAAAAAAAACAAAAAAACAAAAAAATTGAGTGAAAAGAATAAGCGCATCTAGATAAATAAAGCTTTAATAAAAGGTCCATTCTTTATCTTGAAGATTGGTACTAGATTTGTGTGCTAGTTTGAGGCCGAATGTAATCGTTTCTTTAGTTGGCTTAGATAGTAACATATTTGACGTCGGTTCAGTTAAAAAGGATTCTAGAGTTGTTTTGATTTGCATGATCATTGTCTTGATGTGTGGAGAACCATACTTGCTTGCTTAATGTTAAAATTTTGGGAGATTGCTTAGAAGTGGTTGGTGGCACTCCGAGCGTGTGCACAAAATAATGCACAACTGAGTTTGGAAATTAGTGTCAAGTGGGAACCATACTTTAAATTTATAAACCGCTTAACACCTATACTATGTAGTATGAGAGAGAAATGATCGTCCCAAGGGATTGGGGGGCTATGTTAATATGGAAACAAGGTCGGATTAGTAGGTTGAGTGATCAAAAGATTGTTTGTTTAGTTAATTAAACTACAATGTAAATGATTTCAATACTAAGCAATTGAAGTAAATAAAAGGGTAGAGAACAAAAAGAGAGAGGTCTTGGGATCTAGAGGTCACCACTAAACATCACCATTCTAGACATTCAATGTGTTATGAATGAGGGGAAATATGTATTGTAATACAAGGAGGTGTGAATGATTGAATCAACAATCATGGATTGACTAATTAAGCATACATTTTTTAGACAACCTGGTAAATAGCACAATATATCAAACTAAGCCAATAATCCTTCCTTTAAGGTCACAATCAACACACTAACAAGATAGAGAATTGTATTACTTGCATTCATAAGTATGGAATATCAAACAACAAGCATGGATTGTCCTCATATCTAAGAAAGTAAAGCAACTACACTACAACTAAGCTAGAGGCATGAAAATTAAACTAATTAAACTAAGGTAGAGGCGCAATCCATCAAGAAATGAGTATAAACCATCAAACAAATCACAAGAGTATTCTATTTAAGCACTTTGCCTTGACAATCTATAAATTTATAACATCAACACACATAAACATGCATTAATATCACAAACCAAGAGATAAATGCATCAACATCTATTTTAGCATACATAAACATATAGATAGAATGAAATGATCAATTGGAAGTATTAAACAACATAAATCATTGTAAAAACAAGATTCATATATAAATCAAGTGTCAAGACAAGATTACAACACAAATCCCCCCAAAATACAAAACATCAAGGTCTAGAAGGCATGCTTAGGGCTAACTCTAGCCCTAAGAAGATGTTTAGCCAATCATTGATGTAGTCATCTAACCCTCAAGAGCCATCTCCATGGTAGGAATGCTCTTCTTCTTAATAGAAACCCTAGAAGAATGGAAGAACTCCCAAAAATAGTGTATGTCTCTCTAAGCTCTAGCCTCCTCTCCAAGATATGTGTTATAAGATATCTAAGTTCTCTATATTATCATGTAAAAATGGCTCAAAATCCTTATATAGGTAGCTCAAGTGTCACACCCAATGGTCAGGTCTCGTGCACTAAGGTCCCTCCCAATGATTATACCACGAGCCCTCTTTTAATGAGCTAGACTCTATTTTATTTCGGACTTGAGGAGGTTCGATCAATCGAATTCAGGTGAGATCGACCAAACTATGGCCTGATCCATCGAATTAAGGTCAGATCTATCAATCCTTGGCGGTACCTTTTTGGAATACGACAAATCTCTGAGATATTTTGCGGAAAAGACAAAAGTGGTAGGTGAGGATAAAATCAAGGAAGTTTGATCGATCTGAAGAAAGTTGGATCGATTGAAGATGGAAATTCTTTGAGGATAAGGTCAAGGGTTTTGATCCATCTTGATGAGGCTGGATCGATCAATGTGAGATTGATCGAAAGTATTCCTGATCGATCGAAGATTGCTGATTTCCACTACTTTGCTTCCACTTTGCTTCTTTCTTCTATTCAGCTTGAGATTGCTTCTTTTATGCTCAAATTTGGCTGAATTGACTTATTTTGGGGATAAGCACCTGAAAATGGCAATAACATGAAATTAGTCTAAACCGAAAAAGTAAGATTGATAAAGGTCCTAGAATACTCGAGCTTAAGGTGTTTAAATGCGCACTTTTCAGCGCTCATCACACCCCTAAACTTAAATATTGCTAGTCCCTAGCAATGAACTACAAAGTAAAGAAATGAAATGAACAACTATACAAGTATGAATCTAGAAAGCAATAAATGGATAATGCCACTTTCGTAGGGAACACGATTGCATTTAGCATATGCAACAAGCCTTTAAACCCCTAGGTTACCTCCAGTGGATGAGTGAAAGTCTTGTGAGGGTTTCCAGAAATGATACCCACAAACATTAAGCTCATTCTCACAAAAGAGGCACCAATATTGCACTCGATGCCTTAGGTACCCAGAAATAGGCCATTTTTCACCTCCCAGGGAAGGTCAGCCAACTGGTGACATAAGCCAGTTGGTCAACAGCTCAATTTGGCCAAAACTGAGAGTTAGCATCGCTGGAGAGTTGTTTAAGCCGGTTGACACTTCAGTTTCAGCCGGCTAATGCACAGTTTCAGTTAGCTGACGCCTACAGCGCATCAAAATTTTTAAGCCAACTTCATACAATCATATCTCCCTCATTTCTTAACCAAATTGGGTCAAATTTGAATCTAATTTCAGGGATTTTAAGTCAGCTTTTTAATGTCACCAATTTTACTCCAAAATTCTAACGGTAGAAGAAGTTATGTTCATTTTAGTGCGAATTGCTCCGGAAATCTTTTGAACCGTAAAGGCATAATTTAGTGAGATCGTTGTCCTTGTGTCTAGAACCATACTAATGAGGTTATATGACTGTGATAACTTGAATGGACTCCCATTGACTCATTTAGAGTCAAGATATTCCTCTCCTTCACTTGAAATGACCTTTTAACCCTTAGATGGCGTCGGGTCGGGTTAAGACCCGAATAGTGTTTCAGACCTTCTGGTTTGGGTCGTTACAGGCATACCCCCCCCTCCCCCTAGCTCCGCCCCCTGATTAGAATGGTACAGTTAGACTAGGGCTCCAATACGGCTAGTTGGGCCGATTGGAGGTACATCATCTCCAACTCTATCGAACCCGACATTTAAAATGTTCAACCTTAATTCAGTTCTAACTTAAACTTCAATCTTAACATGTGAATGCCTTCAGTTGCTCCCCGTTGTCCTTTAGAACCCCTTCAAGCCTTTAACCACTAATAATCTAACATTCTTACCTTGAAAAGAAAGAAAGAACGAAAAAAATCATAACCACTTCAATCCTAACCTTATCCAATTTTAATCCAAACTTAAATCATAACTATTCAACCTGAGTGCATTTATCTTCTTTTATTTTTTATTTTTTATTATTATTTTTTTTTAATCTCCACTTTTTTTTTGAAAAATTTAATGTAATCTCTAGTTACTTTCAAATTAAATTACTCCTAAATACAAAAGGTTTAAAGCTTATTTCAAATTTTCAATAAATTCCTAACAAATTCTTATAAAACTAGGCTTTGCTTGATTTGCAACTCCCAAAACAATTTTCAACAAGAGTTTTTAGAGAATCCGAACATAAATCAATTTTTTGAAAATCCACTTGATTGAAAAAATTAAAACAATTTTTAGAGAATAAAAACTCATAAATCTACTTGGTTATATTTACTAAAAAAAAAAAAAAAAAAAAAAAAAAAAAAAAAAAAAACTAGTGCAACATTTTATTAATAAGCATTGGAGGCCCATTAATTTTGAGTTAATATTCTTAACTTGATAACAATTGCACAGATACAATATCAAGTTTAAATAAAACATGAATTACATGCCTTAGTTAAATTTAAATAGAGTAAAAGATGTACATGAGTTAATTCTAGTGTGATACGTATTGTACAGTCATCAAGTTTAATTATACATAACCAAAACAAAACATTAGACAATTAGAAAAATAACTGCATCTAGCATTGTCTGCTAATGATGTCCACGTGGAATCCCTCATATGATTTCTATAGGTTGCCCTTTGTGCCGCACACCATCATCAGATAAGTTAAGTTGTGTTCGAGTACACTATCTTCTTCCATACTCCATAAAAAAATGATCTAATATGACCAAAAAAAAAAAAAAAAAATTCGAATATTTAGCCAGAATTAGCAAAGTCGAAAAGAAAAGAAAAGAAAACAAGAGTAACAGAAAAAAATATATCAAGAAAGATAAAAAAAAAAAAACTATATCGATTAAGGATACCTAAACAGTGACTTAGTTTGGGTTTGATGAGACTGCCATCAACCAACTTGCAACACAGTAACCATTTACTCTAGTGAAAAAAATGGTTTAAAAGAAAATGCTCTTGGAGACCAAGTATATGAAGAAAACAAGAAATTGTCCCCTTTAGAAGCTTTAAAGAATATAAAAACTGAATCAGACATAACCACACTTATTGTTACAAGGGATAATTGTCTCACATCAGATCTGGATAGGATTCATAGAAAGTGAAAAGAGTATAAATGGGTAGGTATACAGTACATTACCCAATAGCTTAAGTTTTTGAACAAATGGACAAATGTCCACGCGTTACATTTGGTATCAGAGTTAGACCCAATCCTTGATCCGGTGTCACGCCAAGCGCCCGTCCCGGAGGCGTCCGGGTGAGCCCACCCGGTAGGCAGGGTGGCTCAACCGCAACAAGGGCGTTGAGAGTTTGGGTGAGCGAGAATGTTACAAGGGGTATTTGTCTCACATTGGATCCACATGGAAAGTGAAATGGGTAAATGGGCAAGTACTCAACCGTTACACTTACCCTCTAACACAATTAGATTTTTAATTAGGATATTACAAGTCTTCTAACAAAATCATGCCAATATCACAATATCCGACGAGCATTTGTATGAAGTAGTGAAATATTTGTACTCCAAGTAGATTTTGTTTAACACTGACTACTTGATTTCAAGATCACACTTTGTAAAATACAACTCATATATGCTAAAAGTTTAGAGGAACAAACTGGGTAAATCAACCAACTGTACAATAATCTCAAAAAATTTGCATCTTACTAAGAAAAAGCTAATTTCAGAGGGAAGTAAATTGTACTAAAAGGGAAATCAGTATCACATTTGAGGCATCACAGAGGTACCTAAAGGTGCAAACATCTACCAGAGCATGCAGCATCTCATAAGCAATAAAAATCCTAAATCCTACAAGAATCCATGTCAAGGAAATCACCATTAAAGCAACATGGTAGCAAAAAATCTGAGAGTAAATATTAAGAAGACACTAATGGATAAAAGGGGACCCAAAAAGGTGGTAATTACGTAAAAGTAATGTCATGATACCATCAACAAAACAAACTCGTGAACTATAACCATTTCTTTAGAATTTTGTTGGCAAACAAGTCCGAAATGGGTGATCAAACCAGTTTTAAAAAGCAACGACTGTATAAATGAGACAGAGTGAGAAAGAGAGAGAAATCCAACACCACCAAACCAAGTCAGAAGTGTGAACAACTAAAGCAAATAATCAACCCTCAACCCAACACAACCAAATCCAACAAGACAAATAATCAACCCTCAACCAAAGCACAGAAAAACTGGAAGTGTGAACAACCACAGAAATCTGAGAGATAAAGAGGGAGAGTTTTACCTAAACAAAGAGAGACAATCGTAGGGAGAGAAGCGCAGATCGACCTTCTTGTCTAAGAGATGAGCTTCAAGATATTGAAAGAGGGCTTGAACAGAGAGAATTAGCCAAGAAATATGAGATGAGAGAGAGCGCGCTTGAAGAAAGAGAGTGTAAACAGGGTTTATGCAGCTGAGGAGATGGATGAAGATACTAAGGTTATAAACGTGATATGGTTCGATCTTTGTTTTTTTTAGTGACTTTTGGTTCTCTGTGTTTTCATTTCTGTGGTCTCTGTGTTTTCAAAAATTGCCAAAACAACTTAAAGTTGTTCTCTAAAAAATATAACTATAGGAACTCAAAATTTTAAAACTGTTTCTAAAATTTAGATCCAAGCAGGATCAAAACACAGTTTTCGATTTTTAGTAACTCCCAAAACATAAACTATTATAGGAGTTGCAAACCAAATAAGGCCTTCAGTGAGTTCTTGAGAACTGTTTTCAAGAAACCTGAACCAAGCTGGCCCATAGCATTCAATTAAAGAAATAAAAATGGAAATCTTTTTAACTACATAACTTGCCCTTACGAAAAAAGCACATAAAATATTATGAAAAACATCCTTAAATCTTCTTTCCTTCCATTCACAAACTTTATAACATTCCCAACTACAGCCCTGGTCCAGCATCAATCCTAAGAGAAACACAATTTTTCATATTTGATACTTCCTTTGTCCCATAATAGTTGGGTGCTTTGGGAACCGACAGAGGGAGTAGTTAACAGAAGCAGCATGATCGATTAGGTGTATAAGATTGGATCAAATTGTTCTTCTCATATGCCCATCCCTAGAACATTAATTATTCAATCCCATCTCTGTTCCTATGGTATGTAAAATATATCCTATAAGACAGAATTCCATTAGACTTTTAAGTAGCCAATACACACAAGTTTAAAGACAAAGATACCAGGTACTAATTATAAAATGCTGCCAAAATCTAATGACCCCGCTTTCCACCTTTTCTCTACTAAATTTTTCCTTCAAGTTGCTTAAATCACCAGTTCGAACCCCTTCGACAGGAAGTCATTTTATAAGAGAATCAAACTATAGCACCTAACAAGGATATAAGGTGACATTATTATACTGAAACAAAGGCAACACAATTCTAGGCTCTAGGTAAATTTGCTGCTAGAGGATGAGAATTCAATACAATCTTTAGCAGTTGCAATGTAATTAGACTAATTATACTTCCACAAGCCACATATAGTAAAGCTAACAACTCTAACGTCCAGTAATATGTCTGATTCTGACATTTAAGGGATCAAAATTTCTATAACTAACAACGTCGAGTGAGATAATACAGGCAGAGCAAAATGAATACACAAGGATTAATTTGGGATTACCTCTCCTTTCTATTCTTCTTGCTGTCAGCTTCTCTCATTCTTGCTGCTTTTTCCATCTCATCCACCGGGAGTGGAACTAGACTTCCCACACAAATTGGATCTTCATAGAAAGTCGGCCAACCAGGAATCCTGACATTCTTGAGTGTTTTCCTTTTCAAGTCGAACCAAAGAAGCTTTGCATGTCCTTGGTACAGAAGTACTTCCTCACCAGTCCTTGAATATGCTAGAGGCCTCACATCACCAAATTGCTTAACAGAAAACAATTTAGTCCAAGATTCCTTCACCCCATACTCTTCCATAACCCATATATCAACTCGGTCTCTTCTAGCATAATTGCAATTTATGCAAAGGCAGTCTCCTAATGACCCCAGACTCATACCAATATTCTTATCCAAATAATCAGGCTGTGGCACCAACCGGTATTCCTCAACCCCAAGATCAAAAGCAGCTATCAAGTTTGCCTCAACCGACCTGGGTTCTCGACACACAATCCAGTGCAAAGCCCCTCTAACAAACACAGCATTCTGTAGCAGGCCTGGGTTGTATGGGAGGTAATAAGGGAAATCTTGAATCCTTTGCCACGAATTCGATTTCAGACTATAAACCATAACTTCAAAATAAAGTGAATCATCTTTTTCGCCATAGTACTGTACAATCCTCACCAACTTGTAGTCATCGCGAATAGAATCATACCCAAACCCATAACCTATAAATGACCAAATGCCTAATCCGCGCAGAAACTCGATTATTGGTGCGACCGGTAATTTGTGGTGTTTTCGGGTCGAAAAGTTCCACAAGACAATTTTGCCGTCCAATTAAGACAAACAGAGCAAGCCATTGCAGGAGCCACTTAGTACAAATGGATATATTTTGGACTTCAAGGCGTGGTCAATCTTCACGGCACCATCGGAGGAGTCCAACTCTATGGAGTAGAGACCATGATCTTGAAATAAGACGCTGAGATTGGAATTGGTTTCCACGGATCGATTCAGATGCAATTTAATGAAATGTGGGCTGTCGATCAGAGTACACCATGGTTTTGATACGCACCTAAATTGCAGAAGGGGTTTCACCGGTAATCTTGATAGTATGTCGGCAATTACTTCCACCGGAAGTTCTGACAGCTATAGCTGTTGCTCCTATTTCTAGGGTTTATGAAAGAAGAGGGTTTTGGATGAATAACAAAAATTAGGACATACCAAAAGATATAAAATGAGGGTTTGGATGTTTAAGAGAAATTTGTACTTGAGAATTTTCCCCAGGACTGCAAGAGATGAGGAACTAAAACTTGTTACTTTCTAACCCAAAATCAGAGAAACCATAATTTAAAAAATGACTAAAATTGGCATAAATAAATAAATAAATAATTAGGATATACCCAAAAGATTACTACTGCATGAAATTAAAATTATTAAGAAAAATTGGTACCTATAGAATTTTCCACGCCTTCCACAATACCTTTCAGAAAGCTGCAGCAAGCAAAACGGCTGCAAGGGAGAGAAACTAACCCACACACTCTCTAGAAAACAAGCGTGCGCCACACTCTCTCTCTTTAAACATCCACCTCCCTTCCTAAACATCTAGTAGTAATTTATTATTATTAATTTTTTTTGACAAAATGAGAGAGGTTAAAAGTATTCTTAAATAATAAAATAATTTATTTTAAATATTTATTTTTTAATTTGATTGAATTAAACAAAATAATTACAAATGTGTGAAGTTTTTTTTTTTTAAGTCCAAAATATCATCAAATCTCTCCTTTCAAAATATCTTTCTTAATATCACATAACTCCAAAATACTAAAAAAAAATTTAGGAAACTATCAATCCGTGCTGAAGTCGGTGGCTTTTGTGCTTGGAAAAAGTGTTGTGCCTGAAAATAAAAATAAAAATAAAAAATTATAAAAAAATCAAATCCATTGCAACAAGAGGATCGATTACAGAGTCTCTTACAAACCTAAATTTATTTTACACATATTCTCTCTGTATTACTAAGTCAGCGTGGGTACAACATATGATAGTCTCTTCTATGTTATAATCTACAATCCTTAGTCTTTTCCTTATTCAATTCCATATAAATCCACTCTTTCTCACGTTGGATACACACCCCCACAAGGTTACAATAATTCATTCTGGTCTCTTTTAACTTTTTGATTTAAGTTTGAAAAAGCAATTGGAATTGGGTCATCCATATGCTTACCAAGAGCACTTCTCTTGTTTCCTAATAGCTGGAATATTTTTCTCTAACTCTGAGAAGAGCTGCAAGGGAATGATTTCATCATTAGCTCCCTCTTGTATTCTTAGCAAAATAGTATAAGTTCTTTTGGCAAGTTTATTTTTTATTTTATTCTATAATATTGTGAATTTGGTATTAGTATAGATTATACACACAATCACTTTGAATAGATAATTTGGGACAACTTTCTTTGATTATATAAATATATTCGCGCACACACTGTATTTTTGTTGATAGTTACACAATTTTATTGAAGAATGAAATAACAACTAAAGAGGCATCCATTTTGGAATCATATTATCTTAAGAAGGGTATTTTGGTAATTTGAAATAAGAGCTTAGAGTATTTTGGCTCTTAACAATAATTATTGATGCATTTAATCAAATTGAAAAATGAACTTTAAAAATAGGAGTGTGTAGGTCTAGAACATATTTATTGATTTTTATCCTGGCTGGCAATGATTAGTAGTTGGGGGGGGGGGGGGGGGGGACAACACCGCCGCACCTAATTCTCAATATTCATTGTTCAAATTTTTATGAATTAGCAATTTTTTGATGAAGATACTTTCGGTAAAATACTAGGATTCCTCCATCCAAGTGATTGACAAAATCCATATACTAATATGAAACTAATGAAGAATGCATAGTATTTTTCACTAAGATTCACAAATTTATTTACTAGAAGAAAGAAGGTAAAAGGGTCCGTAACATATGATAGAAATTTGGGTTGATTTAAGGGCAAAGCTTGTGTCCAACCCAGGTTGGATGAATTTCATCAAACCTGTTGATGTGACCCAATAGAATTGCAACATGTGTCTAAAATCAAAAGTTAGGTATAAGTTGGATATTGCCCAATTACAACATGTGTCCAAAATCAAAAGTTAGGTATCAGTTGGATATTGCTCAATTATTCAGGTTTAACCCATTGCTAGATTTTTTTTTTTTTTTTTTCACTCTCCATGAAAGACCATCTGATAATGGGTCTTTTTTTATTATTATTATTATTATTTATTTTTTTTTTTTGGGTAATCATTCCAACAAACACCACCACAACCGGCGACGCCATCACCACCATCCCCAACAACCACCACCACCATGTATTCTGGCGAATGAACGACCACCTACACCATCATAATCCATGGTGTGGCGGCGGACTAGAAGAGACTTAGAATGATTCGGATTGTCGTCGGCCAGAGTGGTATAGTCGTCGGTGATGGGGAGGAGGAAGAAGGTAGCAATGCAAAGGAAATAAATAAAATAAACAAAAGGAAGATAAAAGTGTGATACCCTCAGATTTCCAAATGCAGGTTGGCCAGGCCCACGCATGAATACCCAAGGATATCAAAACAAATCGGCAATAAACGAACACAGAGTACAAAAGAATAAATAGGAATAAATAATTTGCTGAAAGAAAACTAAAAGAATAATCCAATAATAAAACCTCTTAATAAATTTCTATTAATAATAAAATCATTTTGATACAATAAATCCTCCATTAATACAACTCGAGAATCAATACTGTGTGGACCCCTAAAAACCAATCTGAACAAGTGACAGCAATAACTGCCTACAACTGAACAACGAAGTATAAAAGAATCTCCTATATAGAATCAGAAGAATGAAGTAAATTGATCCTTGCTCAGCACGAACAACCTCTACTCCTGACGAACACCTGAAAAATAATGGAGGGTTAGGCCTACAAACAAGTTTTACTCTACTACAGTCCAAGCAGACTTCCGATACACGTATACATCCTAGTCAATCCAATAATAATTAGTAGTCTGTATGTATATATATATATATATATATATATATAGACACACACTAAAGAAACCTTACTAGATCATAGGGTTGTCTTAACCTGAATAGTAGGCAACATGCAAAACGCACTTATAGTGGGCATGAGTACCTAGACCTACCAGGGTACACAACTACACTATATCTAACTACATATCCCTGGCGATATACGCGCCCTAACCACTGATCCTGAGACTCAAGCTCATATTGTAATGACCCGGTCATTTTCCTTCTTTTCCTTTTTCTGAAATTTTACGGATAATTTTTTGTTGTTTAATTTTCTTTCCTAAGTTATGTTTTTCATCTCATAATGTCGTCTCGAGTGCTTAGAAATGGTTTCTGAGACTCTTTCGTTTGGATTGACAACTTCCTTTGACGACCGAGTCATTTCCACATTTTCACTTTTCAGACACTATGCGCTATTTCGTCTTTTCCCTGTTTGTCGCTTTTTTGCAAAACCTCACTTTTCATGGTCGGAGTTGGTTTTTGGCTTCATGTGTCTTCATTCTAAGTGGTTTCCACGAAATACATATTTTTACTTTCTTAAAAAAGTACTCTAGTTGCTCCCGGTGTCCATATATGAAACTAATGAAGAATGCATATTATTTTTCACTAAGATTCGCAAATTTATTTACTAGAAGAAAGAAGGTAAAAGGGTCCGTAACATATGATATAAATTTGGGTTGATTTTAGGACAATGCTTGTGTCCAACCTAGGTTGGATGAATTTCATCCAACCTGTTGATGTGACCCAATAGAATTGCAACATATGTCTAAAATCAAAAGTTAGGTATAAGTTGGATATTGCCCAATTGCAACATGTGTCAAAAATCAAAAGTTAGGTATAAGTTGGATATTGCTCAATTATTCGGGTTTAACCCATTGCTGAATTTTTTATTTTTTTTCACTCTCCATGAAAGACCATCTGATAATGGGTCTTTTTTTTTTTTTTTAAGGTAATCATTCCAAAAAACACCACCACAACTGGCGACGCCATCACAACCATCCCCCACAACCACCACCACCATGTATTCCGGCGAATGAACGACCACCTACACCAACATAATCCGTGGTGCCACCACCGATGCCCCTGGTAACTCGTCCTCCGCCTCGACTCCTCCTTCTGCTCTTTCAACTCTGCCATCGCCATTGAACTTTGCCCATCGCCAATGACCTCGGCTTCCACGCCATATCCTTGATCTGAAAAACCAAACATTAGCCCTTAACCCCGTATTCACACAAACTACACACAAAGACGTGTGTTTGTGTGTGTGTCTATATATATATATATATATATATATATATATATATATATATATAAAGAAATTAGGCTTTCAACGGTCAATCTAGGAGGTTGAAGGTGGCGGCGGACTAGAAGGGACTTAGACTGATTTGGATTGTCGTCGGCTAGAGTGGTATAGTCGTTAGTGATGGGGAGGAGGAAGAAGGCAGCAATGCAAAGGAAATAAATAAAATAAACAAAAGGAAGATAAAAGTGTGATACCTTCGGATTTCCGAATGCAAGTTAGCCAGGCCCACGCCTGAATACCCGAGGATATAAAAACAAATCGGCAATAAACAAACACAGAGTACAAAAGAATAAATAGGAATAAATAATTTGCTGAAAGAAAACTAAAAGAATAATCCAATAATAAAACCTCTTAATAAATTTTCATTAATAATAAAATCATTTTGATACAATAAATCCTCCATGAATACAACTTGGGAATCCATACTGTGTGGACCCCTAAAAACCAATCTGAACAAGTGACAGTAATAACTGTC